CCACCTAAAGGAGCTGCTGATAAACACGTCCTTGCGCTCTTCATCGTGTTGGCCAACGCTTGCCTTCGGGTAGGTCATTGGCCACGTATATTCAAGGAGTCGCTATCGGTTATCGTTCCAAAGCCGAACAAGCCCTCCTATTCTGTGCCAAAGGCCTTCAGGCCGATCGTACTCCTCATCACTTTCGGTAAACTTATCGAAAAGATGATTGCCAACAGGATACAGTTTGACACTGTCAAGCATGATATCTTCCATCCCAACCAACTTGGCAGCATTCGCCAGAGGTCAACCGAGGATGCTGGATTGATTCTGACTCATCTCGTGCGAGTGGAGTGGGTTAAGGGTCTCCAGACTAGCGCGCTGGCTTTTGACATCGCGCAGTTCTTCCCTTCTATCAACCATGAAATGTTCATGGCTGTTCTTCACAAGCAAGGGTTCTCGCCAGTTTTGGTGGAATTCTTTGCCTCTTATCTTGTTGGTCGGTCCACGGTCTACTGTTGGAACACCTTCCAATCCGACTCACGGTCTGCGGATGTGGGTGTCGGGCAGGACTCCGCTCTCTCGCCTGTTATCTCTGGGCTGTTCATTGCTCTGGTAATGAAGCTCTTCTACATCAAAGCGGCGCCGCTCAACATGACGCTGCTGTCCTTTGTGGATGATGGGACCATTTTAGCCCAGTCCAAACAACTCGATGATAATAATGTGGGCCTGCGTAAGGCCTACAAGATTATCTACCTTCTTTTTGTCACCTTCGCGCTCGCCCTTGAACACGACAAGACCGAGTTGTTCCACTTTTCGCGTCGACGAGACGCCTACAATCCCTCGCTGGATCTGGGGTACGCCCCTCACACCGGTGTTACACCTTTGAAGCCCAAGACCTATTGGAGGTACCTGGGCTTCTACTTTGACCGTGGGCTCACCTTTCATGAGCACGTTCGCTACTATGCCACCAAGGCGTTTACCACCGTGCAGGCCATGCGCATGCTCGGAAACTCTACTAGAGGTCTTTCGCCTAAACAGCGCCGCCTCTTATACCGGTCGTGTGTAGT